CCCACATACTCCAAACATTCATCCTCTTGTACGGAAAATGCAGCGCAACTCCAGCAAAAGCAGCTCCGTGTAGGCAAGGGCTCACCCTTCATTTGTGAGGCATCCCAGAACCCGAATGTCCCCCAGTTTTCATCTGTCGCTTGGACCCTAGCTGGACTCGGATCGCCGTCGAGCGCTCTGCATCCGTTCAGAGCTGCCTGTGCTCTGTTAACGGCCGAGAAGAACACAGCAGCCACGGACCTGGGCAGCTAAGCCGAAATACCAGTGCTGAAGCTCACGGTTAAAGCACTTGGGTTTGGGTTTTTTAAAAAAAAACGGTGTAACAGAATCAGAGGATCATACTTATGGCAGTTGCTGTTAGTAATGATCCTTTCCAGCTACATTTGTTGTGTAGGCTACAGACCCCAAATGCTGCGATCCACACCGAAAACCGGCACGACTCGGGCGTGTTGCAAAGGGCAAGGCTGTCTGCTTCCCGAAAAACCTGCGCTTGCAGGAGGGAAAAAAGAGCACGCGTGTTGTCTTTTCACTTCAGCTTAAAAAACACCCAGCTCTTAAACCCAACCAAGTTTAGACTAACCAGCGTAACTACAGAGGAGGTCAGAGAAGGGAGCGGAGCTGGGGAAGGGGCTGGAGCACAATTCCCGTGAGGAGCGGCTGAGGGAGCTGGGGGGTTCAGCCTGGAGAAGAGGGGGCTCAGGGCAGACCTGATCGCTCCCTACAGCTCCCAGAAAAGGGGGTGCAGAGAGGTGGGAGGGTGTTGGTCTCTTCTCCCAAGGGACAAGTGATGGAAATGGCCTCAAGTTGTGCCAGGGGAGGTTTAGATTGGATATTGGGGAAATTCCTTCCCAGAGAGGGCTGTCAGGATTGGAAGGGGCTGCCCAGGGAGAGAGGAGTCACCATCCTGGGAGGGATTTATGAGCCGTGTGGATGAGGCGCTCAGGGACATGGGTCAGTGGTGGCCTTGGCCGTGCTGGGTTAAATGTTGGACTCGGTGGGCTTAAAGCTCTTTTCTAGCCTAAAAGATTCCATGATTCCGTGCTGACACACTGCAAACTTCACTCGGCTTTCTCCAGCTGAAAGTCCGAGCGGAGCAGAAGGTCAGGAGGCCACTTTGCGGACCGCTCTGAGTGCCCAGGGCGTGGTGTGGCCAAGCAAGGCAGAGGGGATCGAGCCCCTCTCCGCTGCAGCATGCAGGAGAGGCTGGAAAGCATTACGTGTTTGCACGGCTCCTGGCATTCCCAGGGATAGCCCAAGAGCAGTCTGGGTTAATGAGTGTAGAAGCAACTATTATGTCAAATGAATGCCATTCCTACTAGGAAACGGATCACCCTGAGGAAGAGGAGGACCAGCACTCACAAGCAGACTAGATGGTCTTACTGGGTACGTGTGATTGCGAGTCGTTCCACCTCCCGTGTAGGTGATGTGGTGTGAAGAGAGAAAACACCCTGGAAATAGCATTAACACCAAAAAAAAACCCCTAACCCGTGAAATACCACTGCACAGCGATAGAAATTCTTGCTATAACTGAAACACAGCCCCATTTTCTTACATGTTTTGTTAGTAGGCAGGTGTGTACCCCGCACCTGGTAGGTGCCAGCACACAAAACGTGCTCCGAAGGCGGCGTCTAACGGGCTCTTACGAGCGGCACCGGTTAACGACCCCCCCCAGCGCTTCGCAGGGCGACTTGCAGCGGGTCAGTGTGGTGCGGTCACGTATGACGGCGAAGGAGTGAGATGGTGAACACCTAATAGATAGCCGGTATAAAAACCATCAGTAGTGGAAGTAACATTGGCTTTGGGATGTGAGACTTCGGCAATTTTTGGGCTAAATTCCTATTATTGCATAAAGTTGATAAGAAAGCTGATTTTACCCTTCAGTTTTACCATCAGGAAAGCTTTAGAGATGTTCTTACCATGCTTCAGATGTAGGCAGCTGTCATTCTGGGGCCTGTACCTGCAGAAGATTGTTTTCCTTTAACAAATTTCTGTTACAGAGCTTTTGCACATTCCAAATAAGTTTGTTTGCTACAGTATTACATGGATTTTTTTTTTTTGGTGTTGGTTTTTTTTTTGTTTCTTTGTTTGTTTTTTTTAATGGTTCTTATACCAGCCATTTTTTGGGAGGAGGAGGGGAAACGGGGTGTTTCTTTGTATATGTTTTACAGGCAACGATGAGCCCTCACTGCTGCCTTGAGCCAACACACTAGGCAGCTGTTAGCGTACACAGGAACGTAAAACAGCGGCCAACCCCCGCCGTGGCTACAAAAAGGTCAGTGTAAAGCTTCCAGTGTCCAGTAACCCCACGGAGTATTTGAGACGTAAGGATGACCCAAGACTGACGGAGGAGGAAAGCGAAGGGAAAGCAGGAGAGCGACGGCAGCAACGCCCGAGTTCAGCCGAAGAGGTCGGTGCCGTCAGGCCGGCTGCACGGAGAGGCGCGAGGGAGGGGAGAGAGGTGTCGGCTGCGTGTCCCCAGCGTGTGTGCAAAGCCAAGCCTCTTGCAGCATCCGTCAGGAGGCAGCGTCAGAGAGAAGCGGGTGAGAACTAAACAGCGCGAGCTTCTAAAATACACCTAAAATACATTCTAAAATACACCTGAGGTGAATGGTAGGAGTTGGTGACGACCTACCTGATGCCGATTCCTGCAACTTTTCTCTCTTCCTCTTCTTTTTCTTCCCCTGAAAAACAGGAAATGTTACCGTATCATCACAGGCACAGCGTTGTGTTTTGTTGCTCCCCCACCTCCCAGCACAGCAAAGCCATCTGGAGACTGAGAAAGCAGTTAGGAAAAAACAATCGGTTTTGGGGTAGCTAAAACCTTTTCTAGCCCACTCCCAACTGTTTCACTCTAACAAGGTTTGGAGAAACGCGCACGTGAGCCGTACACATTTTTATAGCTACACGGAATTACAATTCCTGGCAGTTTTTCCACTAGCACTGGCAGCCGCAGGCATGGACAAGATGTGCTCACGCTTAATAACCTGATAACACGTATGTTGATACCGTCATTTGCAGCTCTAACAAGGACTCTTCGCGCATTCAGGAACTGTTAGACACGACAACGGCGCACAGGGTGTCGAAAGCCCCCGGGATGATTGTCCTCGGGGTGCAGACGAGCCAACTCACGCCGGGCGGGTGACGCTCATACCTCGGCAGAAGCCAAGCCTGGTTGTGCCCGGAGCACGCGCGGTGCGCCAAGGGAAGAGCAGACCCCCGCGCAGCGCAGCAGCCGTGACGTGACCAGGGTGCGGGGCGTAAATGGGTGCCCGGCAGCACAAATGGGTGCCCGGCGGCAGTCGTGTCTTGGACACCAGGCTGGCACCAGCGTGCCAGCTCGTCGTGCCCAACCCACATGCTCAGCCTTCTCCTGCCCCACCGTGTATGGAAAAGGCCGGAGCTCCCTGTTGGTGGAGTCTTTCAGCGAACAAAAGGTCAGTTCAGACCCACAATTTTAAACCTCAATCATCTTGCATCGCCCTAATTACCACTTTGTTATTACCCCGCGTGACTTCACCTATTGTCCTGCATTGTCAGTCAAAGCTTGTTCTGTTTAAAAAAAAGGACTCCTATCCATTTACATTCTGAAACAGCCTTCCTGGTGCCATTGCCATCAGCGGGACTGCAGCCCATGCCCATCCTCTGCCCCCCAGCCAGAGGCTACCCCACGGCGAGTGGATGGACAGCAGGCGACGGGGGAAAGCACCCCAAACCACTGCAGTGCTCGCTGATGGACGGCGAGCGAGGGCTCTGGGTACGGGCTGCGGCGAAGCTGGCAGCTGAATAATGTTCTTACGGCAACATCAGAAGGATATCAACCAGTCGGAGCGAGTCCAGAGGAGGCCCCGGAGATGCTCCGGGGGCTGGAGCCCCTCTGCCATGGGGACAGGCTGGGAGAGGTGGGGGGGTCAGCCTGGAGAAGGGAAGGCTCCGGGGAGACCTTATTGCAGCCTTCCAGTGCCTGGGGGGGCTACAAGCAAGCTGGGGGGGACTTTTTCCAAGGGCAGGGAGTGACAGGACAAGGGGTAATGGGTTTAAATGGAAAGTGGTGAGGTTTAGATTGGACATCAGGAAGGAATTCTTCCCGCAGAGGGTGGGAGCACTGGGACAGGTTGCCCAGAGAAGCTGTGGATGCCCCAGCCCTGGGAGTGTCCAAGGCCAGGCTGGATGAGGCTTGGAGCAACCTGGGCTATGGAAGGTGTCCCTGCCCATGGCAGGGGGTGGCACTGGGTGGGCTTTAAGGTCCCTTCCCACCCAAACCACTTCATGACTTTTTAAGTACCCAGGCTGCTCTGACAGTGTGGGCTGGCTGGACTCTTCAGCTCCCATCCTTACTTTTCCTAGGCAATACCTTGTGAGTGAGCTCCCAAAGATGGGACCGAGACTAGAAGGTGGAAAGCAGATTTCAAGGGCTCTGGGAAACTCACAGCCATAGGTGTATCCCTCAGGCACCAAGGCCATACTGCTGCCCAGCGAAAAGTGCCCTCGTGCAGATGTTAACGAGGAGAAGTCATGGGAGGAAAATTATGTTTTCTTCTCTGTGGCAGGCTGACTTTAAGTGGTAAAACATACTGAAAAAAGCTGATCTGAGATCCATCTACGAGACACCAGAAGCAGAGGAACAGAAGGAAAAGGCTGGGCTGAAAACTAGTTGTCAGCATTTCCAAGCGATGTCGTTTCTGACAACTCCAGCAGACACAGACACCACCGCGTTACGACAGCGTTGCGCTCCTCGTGACCGTCACGCAGCTTTGCAGGACTACCCGGGGTGTCGGCAGGAAAAAGGGAACAGAGCCCACAGATATTGTCAGCTGTTGGATGGCAATGCTTAGCATTTGCTTGACATTTCTGAAATCCTGAGTAATCAGGCAGAGCAAAACAGAAAAACCACCTAGTACGTATTTTTTACTTGTGCTATTGTGTGAAATTCAGCCATGTGAAACCGAAGGGTCACCCCTAAGACACTTCCAGCTCTCAAAATACTGCAGTAATATCTGTGCCACATGAATACAATTTCCTTTTTTGACTGCTCACGTTAGAAAAAACGAGTGAGAAAGCCAAGATCACTTACACCCGAAAGAGTTTCAGTGACAAGGAAGAGTTCTCCATGGTTACATACAGGACTGGAGCACGCCAGAGCCTTCCACACAGGACGTAGGTTGGAAGCACATGAAAGAGGGAATTTGTACGAGCCACCTTACACACTCCGAATGTCTATCACGGCGTTTGAGAACCCACAAGTCCCTGTGGCAGAACACGTCAGGTTCTCAACGTCAACGCGACCGAGCGTCACGGGATGACCGACCTTGGAGGCTGACACCCAGGAAGCGTGGGCTGACAAGGCTCCCAAGTGGTTTGGCTCTCCAGCAAGTTCAGGACAACTAAAACCCCGTTGTTTTCAGGGAGTGTATCACCAGGGCCCTGTTTGTCCCCAGGTGTGCTTCAGGACAGCTCTGCCGACACCGCCTGGTTACTGGGAATAAACCTACCTGCCCAAGGTCATGACAGCTCCTCTGCCAGGAAAGAGGAGTGTATTCAACAGGCAGAAACAAGCTGCTAGTGCCCACAGCAGTGTCCGTGCGTACAAAACCACACACGGATGTCAACGTAGACCTGGCAGTCCCAGGCTGGTGGTTGGACTCGATCCTAAAGGTCTTTTCCAACTAACTCAACTCAATGCAACTCAACTCAACTCAGCTCAAGTCAACTCAACTCAATTCTACTCCACTCTACTCTACTCTTCTCCACTCTATTCTACTCCACTCTATTTTACTCCACTCTACTCCACTCTATTCTATTCCACTCTACGCTACTCTAGCCTCCTCCACTCTACTCTCCTCCACTCTACCCCACTTGCTCCACTCCACTCTACTCCACTCTATTCTATTCCACTCTACTCTACTCTAGCCTACTCCACTCTACTCTACTCCACTCTACTCCACTCTATTCTATGCCACTCTACTCTACTCTGCTCCACTCCACTCTACTCCACTCCACTCTACTCTACGAGCAAAGCATTTGCTTTGGAGATGGTCATGTAGTTTCTGTGTCAATGCCTTCTGTACCAAAGGTGTCCCTAAGAGACTCCAGCTCACAAGGAAAATGTTCCAGCTAAACAGTAGCTGTGCAGGATTGGGCTTGTCGGGTGCTTCTACAGTTCCCGTTAACACTGTTATCCAGGTGCCTCATAAGCTTTAGCGCCCACAAGACATCACTGAAGTAGAATAAAGCTGCTGTACACCTCACAGAGATGGAAAAGCGAGCCGCACGTATCCTTCCTATGGCAGCCAGTAGCGTCACAGCTGCTGGGGGCACGGAAAGGAGCCCGGTTCTCAGGCTAGGACCAGCCTCTCAGGACTGCAGCGTGCGGCTTTCGTAACAGCACATGCCCACACTGACAGCTCGCTGTACGCACAACCGTGTAACGGTGCAGTGCAACGCGCTCTTAACCCCTGTTTGTTATTTAACTATAAAATAAGAGCAACTGTAAGAAACCTTCTTAGCTTCACCAAACTGTGTAAAAGCAGAATCTATCGTGAAGTTTACTTAGACAATTTGGCAGGCTTTATTTCAGAGATGGACCACTGAAATCCTTCCAGCTAACGTTCCGCTTGCATTAGGGTCCCTGGCTTTTGGTTCTCTTGAAAGAGAGACACCCCTTGTTTGCTCAGGTCTCCAGATTTCTGGATAACAAGTGATCAAACAGATAATTCTGGAGAATTCAAAGTCGTGCAGTAGAATATGAGCTTTCAGACAGTACTGGCGATTGTCTTAGGGAAAAAAAAAAAATTTACATACTCATTTTTTCCCCTCAAAACCTGTGACCTTCATAAGAAACATCTCAACAACAACAATCAAGTTTCTGGATGCTTGAAGCACCAACAAACATAAGGCTTATGGTACATGTTTGTTCACCATCCCTCCATCCAGAACTTCCCACAAGTTAAAGAGAAAAAGGATAAAGAGAAAAAAACAGTTAGGTAAAGGGTGTTAATTTAAAAAATAACTTACGTAGTTGTCTCTTGCAGACCAGCCTGGATAAAGCTGCATGTGTAGCTGCCTTTCTTTACGAGCTAGTTCATAATATTTCGCTTGTTCTTCACGGGAGAGAGCATGCCACTGCAAATAAAAGGACCCTAGAGTTAGACGGGGAGCTGAACTCATACCTAGGCAAAGAGTGATTTGTCACAGAAGAAAAAGAAACTGCCAGCTGCAAAACGTTACAAAGATACAGAAACCACAGAACTGTCCCCGTCCAAGTTACATGAGTTGACCTCAGTAGCCAAGTCAGGATAAACTTGCTGCTTTTAGGTATGACTTAAAGAAAACTCCAAACCCAACAGAAATGAACCCCACAACCTGCAGAGTGGAAAAGGCACGAGCTACATCAGTATCTAACAATTTTGCTGTTGTTGAAACACCCTTCATAGACCTGAATCAAAAAGAGTAACAGCCTTTTACTGAGAATCAGGTTCCCCTGTTGCAGCGCTAGACGTGTCTTCTTGCTTGAGTTTGACAACATGCAGGGGGGAGTGGGGGGAGAAGAAGGTATTTAAAAAAAACCAAAACCAAGAAAAAAGACAAATCATTAAAACCAGAGCATCATGCAAGAATTCCGGAGCGGCACAGGGAATATTGAATCGTGACCATGATGACTGAACACTAACTATTTGATAGTAATTAATCTCCAAGCAGTTATATTGGATAACTCATGTTGTTTCTAGCACAGAAGTTGAGGTACTTCCACGGAGAACTTGACAGGAGGAGTCCAAGCTGTGGGAGAGGAATAGCTCATGTTGTTTCTAGCACAGAAGAAGTTGAGGTACTTCCATGGAGAACTTGAAAGGAGGAGTCCAAGCTGTGGGAGAGGCAGGCAGTGGAGCACTGAGGCTTGATTCATTACCAAAATGGAGATAAACAAGCCACTGCCCTCATTCAGGCCAAGAAAACAAGGCTGATAATGACAACCTGGTCCTAGAGAATTGCATGGAAGGATGGAAAAGGCAAGAACGAGATGTCTTTTAGGAGGAGGTAACATCAGAGAGAAGGCTGCAGGAAGAGGCACCAGGACCCGTAGATTTCTGCTCTGGGCAGTGGAGGGGGCAAGTCTACAGGTAGTAAGAGAGAAGTAGTTAAGGTCAGGTACTGACACCCCACTTAAAAAGCACAGGGTTTTCAGAGTCGCCGTGCCTCTCAGTGCTGCCTTAGTGGTCAAGAAGAGAGGTTGACTGAGCAAGAGGATACGAATAATCCCTACTCAGACTGATAGAGGACTTGTCCCTTTTCTCATTTCTGGGGCAATCAAGGGCAAAATGAGCATTTGCCTCTGCTCCTTTCCCTTGGAAGAACACCGCCAACAGCATTACGTTGGCTATTCTGGGTTGGCCTGCAGATTTTTTTTTGGAGCGTGGAAAGAGCAAAACATGCCTACAGTGCCCCAGAAGCAAACGGCTCTCAGCCAGGCTCTGGGACGCATGCTGGGACCATCAGCACTCGGCTGTCGGCTTTAGAGACGTTCAGACTGGAACAAGTCCCTGTTCAACTGGACAAGTCCCTGAGCATCCCGGCGTAACTGGACCTGCTTCGAGCCGGTGTTGGACTAAACCTCCGCGGGTCCCTCCCAGCCTACAGACTTCTATGGAGAAATGCTGAGAGTTGGGGGGTTCAGCCTGGAGAAGGGAAGCTCTGGGGAGACCTCAGAGCCCCTTCCAGTGCCTGGGGGGCTACAAGGAAGCTGGGGGGGACTTTTTACAAGGTCAGGGAGTGACAGGACAAGGGGTAATGGGTTTAAATGGAAAGTGGGAGATGGAGATGGGCCATCAGGAAGGAATTCTTCCCGCAGAGGGTGGGAGCCCTGGGACAGGTTGCCCAGAGAAGCTGTGGATGCCCCATCCCTGGGAGTGTCTAAGGGATGGATGAGGCTTGGAGCAACCTGGTCCATGGAAGGTGTCCCTGCCCATGGCAGGGGGGACTGGGGGGCTTTGAGGTTCCTTCCCACCCAAACATCTCTGGGATTCTATAACTTTACAACCGGACCAGGTTATGTTCTCTTTTGAGTTCCAGCTCCACTGGCGCCCAGTGTTCCTCTGTGAACGATTCCCTCTGCTCGGACGGATGCCTAAGGGAGGGCCCAGAAGGCGATTTGAATGCTCATGCCATATGTGAACAAGGGTGTTTCATGCCTGAGGTGCTGACACCATGACATGAGTGGGACAGACAATTTGATGATGTCGCTAATACTGAAAAAAAAAAGGGAAATCAAGATCCTGCTTTTATTCTTCATTGCACGTTTTATGTCCTGCAGCTAATTTGATAGCTGCACATTAGTTAGCACCTCAAGCAGAAAGTGAGCCATCACACCCAACTAGAGGGAAACACACACAAATTAGCAGCACACGTGAGTACACACCCCACCCCCCCCCCCCGTACGTACCCTTCTGCCAAGAATCTGGTTGATAGCTGCGCTCTCTTTCAGAGTACACTCTGCTACGACGTTCGCTCTCATTTCTTTCATGTACAACATGAAAGCGTTCAGAGGTTTCTTAATATGAGGTCTTTTTGGCTCTTGTTCTTTTCTCTGTTCATGCTGAGGCTTCCTAAAACGTGGTGGGGGGAAGGGGAAGGAGGGGAAAAAAAAGCAACCATTTACCTTCAGCCTAAATAAACCCCAATGGAAAATTACCAGCCTGTGGTTACGGCAGCATTTGAGTAGTAAGAATGAGATTTTCAGTGGTCGTGCCCCATCCCCTTTTGTACCTTTTCAGAGAACTGACTTAATTCAGTACACAGGGAGGATGTCAGGCTGACATTCTCTAGCAAATAACGTTCGATCTGTGAACTCCACCCGCGTTCATCACTTGTCTCGGTTCTCTTCTGAACGTCTCGGGTCTCTAGAAGACCACTGCTACAGGCAGGAGGGTGGCTCCTCATCCACTCCTTTCCTGGGCCTTCGGACTTCATGTACTAAGCAAAAGGGCTGCTTTTTACTGGTGGATTTTGTAGTGAAGACCTTTTTCAGCGGCATTTTGTGAGCTCATACTCAAGCAACGCCCATGGGTGGACAGGTCCATGAATCTACACTGTTGCTAATAGCTAAAAAAGTTCTGGATGGGAATGGGAAATGGCTTCATGTCTCGTTACTCTTCCCAAAGAGCAGCCAACATCTCCCATTTCAGTTACAGAAGAGTTACGATTCAGAGAGGGCATGAAAGGCACTCTGGGGTTTTGTTAACCTCCCTGACTCTTCCTCGGGGAGAGTCAGCTCTCCAGCATGTGCCGACTAAGGGCTACTTCGGAAAGGCGGACTCACACATGCATTAGCTCGCTGTCGTTGTGCGGATGTTCTTGTTTGACTTGAGGCGTTACAATAGCTGGGTGAGGGATTCCAGTTGTGTGAGGGCCTGGAGGACCAGGAATCATGTGATGTGAAAACCTAAAAGAGAAAACAAAGAGGAAGGTCCGTAACCCTAGGGAAAGCAGGAATCAGACACGTAGGACAGCAGCGGGATGCCCCAGGAACGCCAACGCTATGGAGCTTGACCATGGAAGACGATTCTTTAAGGATGCATGAAAAATACGTGGCTACGGTTTGTGTTGTAGCCCACCTACTCGAGAAAAACAAACAAACAAACAAAACCAGTCAACGTTTTGGTTGTAAAGAAGTTGTTTTACTACCTTTCAGGCAAACAGCTTTAGCAATGCACACAACAAACATTTAACGGTTGTACCGCTGCACTGAGCAGCAAGAAAAATAGACATTTCTGAACCAAAAACTGTGTTTCCACACGAAGATATAAACATTCTTAAAATATCCACCACCAGCCAATGCAAAGGAGGGAACTGCCATGCAGAAACAAATAAAATAAAAGAAGAAGAGTCTTTTCAAGAAGTTTCTGGTGGCTCTCTAAGGAATCTCTTACTTTTCAAGGCACTTCAGCTAAAAGGTTTTAAGATCACGTCACCTAAATTCACTATTCATCCCTCAAATGCTTAAAATAAAAATAAACTAAAAAAATGCTGCATCCTGGAAGGGGGCGTGAGGGAAAGGGGAGGAGGGAGAGGGAGACTTTCATCCTCAATAAGCCTTCCTTTCACGTGTACAAGAAGGAAATGGAAAAGAAAACCAAAGTACCACTAACTCAATCGTCCCACCCTACTATATCCTCACGGGTAGCTGAGCTGGGTCGTGAAGACGCTGAGCGCTGCAAGCTCGGGCGCAGCAGAGAGCCTGCGTGCTCTGTGAGGAACTGGTGGGAAGCACCATTCATGGCATAAAGCAAGCTCATGCTCCAAAGGTTTGCTGAATGAGTGCGGGTTAAGGAGTCACATCCAGCCTCTCCTTTCCCCATTCCTTAGTCACCTTGCCCTTTTCCTTCATGCCATCAAAAGAAAGCAAACGCAAAGCCCTGTAACCAAATCGGGGCATTTTATTACGGGGAAAGAATGGGGTTTCTTCCCCATCACCCTGACAGGCACATGCTCATCATTCCCCTGTAAAGGAGCGAAGAGACAGAGATAATCCAAAGGAGCCCACACAAACAGAGGGAAGAGGACCCACCGCTTCTCAAGTGGCCTGTCTTGAGTCCCCTTGGAAGAGGATGGGTCTTGTAGAGGTCACACACAAAAACCCACCCAACCCAAGCCAAGAACGGTCTATTGCAACCTCGTGTACACCAAGCACAGGATGCAGAAGCTGCCTTCAGAGTGCAAAAGCAGAGGAGAGGAGGTCTGGAGTGTGGCCCAAGTCTCAGTTAGCGTTGCTTGCTTGCACTTAGACATGAAGACACAGCGCCTGATTCACACACCAGTACAAACACACTGTGCTGGCATCCCCGGCCATTAGTGGCTTCGGGCTGTGAAACACCTACTTGCGAGCAAGTTTTCACATGGCGTGGTAACCTAAATGATTCAAAACTCATTACCAGCAGCTTTGAAATTAGAACTAGAGGACGCAGACTAGAGTGACAATCCACCTGGTTGCATACTTGCATGAGCGAAACCCAAGGGTGCAGGCGATCTGTTGCATCTAGAAATGAACGGAAGGACTCATTTCAGATGAAACAGCTCAAATTCATTGTTGACAAATCACCGGAGCTCCTCATTGCAATACTTCAGAGACTGCCAAGAAAATGTCGAGTGAGACCAGTGTGGGATCCAGGCAAACTGTATATGCACAAATACGTTAAATAAAAATGTACGCGTAAGGTTTTAGCTGACTGAAAAGCAAGCAAAGGCAGACCAAGATGCAAGCGGAGGAGCAACTTGCCCTCTAATGCCAGCAGTTACTCCCCAGTCAGTCATTCACCTCCTACACCTACCTGGACATGGAAGGGTCGACTGAGAGTGAGGATGGATAGGGCTGCCTGAATCCACTCGAGATGGGATATACAGGCTGACCTTGCCTGAGGTCACAGAGAAAGGAACCCATCAATCACACGATACGGTATTCAGTAGTTACTACAGAGTTACAAGCACTTGATGGGAACTCAGTATGAAGTCACAAGAAATAGTCATAGGCAACACTTTCAAGAATCTGCTGTACTCAGAGCTAACAAACACTTGACCACCTTGGGCTTTCGCCCTCGCTACTGGGAGCTTCCCAGTCTGGGTTTCCACTGGGGAAGGAAGCGAAACAACCAGCCTTCCTCCCCCAGAGCACACACGCGTGCACGAGTGCAATCTCTCCCTTTTTCTATCCCGCTCTCACCTAGGTTTAGAAGCACTGGACTCAGATTTGGTTAACTAGCTCTTAGGAATGAGGCTTTTTATTCCAAATAGTTCAGTGCAAGAACATCTGACTGTGACTTGTCAAGTTGGAAAACCTTTTCAACGGTTTTATTAAGTCTTTGAAAACTCAGGGCTCTCTCCATTTGCATCGTCTGCAGTGAGGAAGAAGTGGCTGGCTTTTCTAAGAAAGCAGAGGCTTTTGATTGAAACAAAAATACCCCAGAACCACCCAGAAGCCCACAGCAGCACAAGCCCGTCTTAACTACTCAAAGTTCACCCTTTGCAATCCAGTAGAAGAAACCAGTGTGACATTCTTACCTCCTTTATACCCCTCCCCGCCCCCGGAATATTATGCCACCAGCCCATCTTCCGGACACTCTGGGTTTTGTCATCATCCCTACATTTGGGTTACTTTCAGGTAGCAACGGTTCAGGTCGTGACTACGATTAACACCCTGAGGAGCACGCGGTGTTGATGCAAACGAAAACCGGCTCAGCACAAATGCCTGAACCAGCCCAGAAGCACCACCCCGCGCATCAATCCTGCGCAAACGGTTACTTATCGACGGGCAGATCAGCATTCCGAGGCGGGAAAAAAAGGGCTATTGGCCTCTGTAAGGTTCGGGATACAGGTTTCACACTTGGAACAGGTTAATGGAAATTAGCAGCGCTCAAAGGGAAGGGAATGGGGAAAAAAAAGAGGTGGAGGAAGACTCAGCAGCGCTACCCACAGAAGGCAGCTGGGAGCCGAATGGCGTAAGGGACGGCTGGATACGTCCTGCTGACTGCGAGCACGTCCCCACGCCTGGGAAGAATGGATCTTGTCTCTCCTTTCTCTTATAGACCATAGAATCATGGAATGGTTTGGGAGGGAAGGGACCTTACAGCCCCCTCAGTCCCACCCCCCTTGTCACGGGCAGGGACACCTTCCACTAGCCCAGGTTGCTCCAAGTCTCATCCAGCCTGGCCTTGGACACTCCCAGGGATGGGGCATCCACAGCTTCTCTGGGCAACCTGTCCCAGTGCTCCCACCCTCTGCGGGAAGAATTCCTTCCTGATGTCCCATCTCCATCTCCCTCTTTCCGTTTAAACCTTTTCTCTCCTCCCTGTTTCCCCCCAGCCTCTGCATCAGGAAACCATTCACATAGGATGGACCACATCTGGAAAATGAATTCCCGAAACTGCTGGTGGTGGTGGAGCTGGGGAGTCAGCCAAGCAGCAACGAATGGGGAGGAGGGCGGGGGAAATAAGAAAAAAATTGAGAGAATCAGATACATCCGTATTGAAGTTTGGTATCTGATCGTAATTTGCTCCAAAAAGGTGCATGGCACTTCCCGAAAGGTTTCCCAGCAGTAGAGCATTCCAGCATCTTCTGCTCTCGACTTTCTCTGCCTGTTGTCACCTGGATCGTGCCCCCCCCGCCAATAAACCCACTCTAAAACTTATCTGCCTTGCTCGATGCACGGGCACAGATACAGATTCTAAAGCACTGAAATTGCTGCCCAGATGCCTTATTCCCTGCTCCGACAGATCCGAGGGCAAGTACCACCCTCCCCCAAGCAGACGTGAAAATCCTGCCGGATCAATTACCCTGAAAATACCACGTTTCCTCCAAAAGGACAGTGACACCCTGAGTGGCAGAGAAAGACCCTGAGAGGGCCGTCGTTAGGAAAAGCAGCAAAACCTCCCCGTGACAGAGGCTTCTCCGCATACAGAAACAGCTGCAAACTATGAAATTTTGCCCATTCTGATGCAGTTTCAGGATTTACACACACATACGTCAAAGTTCCTTCTTGCCTCCCCTCAGTAATAGCAATTTTGTTTATTAAAAATTTCCATTTAATTCCTTGAGAACTGTTTTTCTGCTACCTTCCCAAATGCCAAGAGCCACAAAGCCGAGCCGTAAGAAACATAGAGACTTCAAAGTGAAATCCGCACACTCCAACTGCTGCATGTGCTCAAAAACACCAGCTTTGATTCATTTAAAAAATGGACGTTTCTTGATCTTTTCTACTAAAACGAGGTAGTAATTTCTTACTGCAGCGACATTCTTATTTTGTAAACACGCCCATCGGTTCAACAACAGCCAGTGGTGCTGAACGCGCACCTTTGTAAAGAAGCTAAAAGGTCTTACCAGCCAAGAGGTGGTGTTATCTGTCCAACCCCCCCTGGAGACAAGGGATAGAAGGTAGGGAGATCAGGAGCTGGAGGATGCCTGGACATGCCTGTTAAAGAGCACAGAAGAATGAATGAGTTTCCCCTCAAAATACTGCACGTGAGCTACAGTTCACAGCAAAGACAGCCAACGCCACGATGGAATTAGCCAATGCCACGATGGAATTAGCCAATGCCACGATGGAATTAGCCAATGCCACGATGGAATTAGCCAATGCCACGATGGAATTAGCCAATGCCACGATGGAATTAGCCAATGCCACGATGGAATTAGCCAATGCCACGATGGAATTAGCCAATGCCACGATGGAATTAGCCAATGCCACGATGGAATTAGCCAATGCCACGATGGAATTAGCCAATGCCACGATGGAATTAGCCAATGCCACGATGGAATTAGCCAATGCCACGATGGAATTAGCCAATGCCACGATGGAATTAGCCAATGCCACGATGGAATTAGCCAATGCCACGATGGAATTAGCCAATGCCACGATGGAATTAGCCAATGCCACGATGGAATTAGCCAATGCCACGATGGAATTAGCCAATGCCACGATGGAATTAGCCAATGCCACGATGGAATTAGCCAATGCCACGATGGAATTAGCCAATGCCACGATGGAATTAGCCAATGCCACGATGGAATTAGCCAATGCCACGATGGAATTAGCCAATGCCACGATGGAATTAGCCAATGCCACGATGGAATTAGCCAATGCCACGATGGAATTAGCCAACGCCATGATGGAATGAGCCAACACCATGATGGAATTAGCGCTCTGGAGAAGAAATAATCACTCTCCTGGTCAGTGTTAAAAGCAAAAGGCTGCCTGTACCGCCTTTAAAGTAATAAATAACAGTGTACAGGGTTGCAATTCAAAGGGAAATCCTGCTGGAAAAAAACAAAGTGGAGGGAGGAAATAAATGTACGAGGAAGGACCTGCGCACGTTCAGATCCAGTGTCAAGCGCGCTAGGCGATACTGTCCCCTCAGAGGTTTACCAAGCCCGGCTGGATCCCGAGGATCTCTCCTAACACGGCGTGAAACAAGAGGAAAACAAAGCCTTGGCCAAGAGGCAGCGCAGCAGAACTATTAGATTAGGTGAATTGCTCCTTGTACGTTGTCGCGGGTTCCCTTATGGATTCAGAGATTTTGGGAACTTGCTACCACAGAGGATCAGTGGTTAATTAAGAATCGTTTTTCAGGCCTGTAATGGTCACACTTGATATGATTCATTTGGCTTCCAATTGTCACTCCAGCTCCAACTAAGCTCTTTGTTGAGTTGACTCCTGTGGGCTCCAAGGTCAATCTGTTTTGCATTGGTAGTATTTAATGGAAAAATAAAGAGTCCCATCAGAAACGATCCATCAGCTCACATTCCCCAGAACACCGAGTCCTACAACTGCAAGAATCACCTCAATATTAAAGCTAATCCTCGTCCCAAAAGGGTCCGTGGTCTCCATTCTTCACCTAAACCTCGTGCCCCCAGGAGACACGGAATTAGGGTTGCAGAGGCCACAAAGACATGGGTTTATTTAAATGTGTTTGGGGAAGAGGGGGCTGAGGCAGAAGGAATTGTTAAGTCTACTCCCCACGTTAAATGAGCTGCTTTAAAAGGGCGTTAAATATTTATGTGGTGACACTCTGAATGTCCAAGACTGAGCGTGTGTTACCTTGAGACTTGGCTTATGGATTGATGCTACTGATTTATTTCCCACCCCTCCCCCCACCCCGTTTGTATTTTAATCTTCTGAATTTAAAGATTTGCAGAATACCTTCTGGGACTGGGCACAGAAAGGGATGGAAAACAATACTGTTACTGCTAACTCTGTTGTGGTGTCTCCCAAAAAGCCGAACGCTCACACTTGGCACCACAGCCTGAACGAGCATCAATTTTCTGGCCAGTTGTCTACTCAAAGGTGTAAAAGAGGTGGTGGCTGACAGCAGAGGGGACGCTTACACACCCCGGGGTCTTCAGGTGAGAGGGAGCGCTCCTCCAGAGCAGTTGAAAAAAATAAAAATCAGGCAAAAACCAAGGCCAGCCTCTCACCTCTCTCAGTCCTGGTGAGGGCTGATGCTCCTGGGGAGTGAGGATGTGACTGTGCCTCTGCCAGACCAAGTTCTGTGTGAGGAGCTGGGCCGCTCCTTCCCCCCAGATCCCTGATGCTGCTCTCTCTGCACAGTGGCTATCACTAGCCCGAATCTTCTGCCCCCTTACGGGGGGCTGTCGGCTACCCCGCGTGCAGCCAGCGCTCTCCGCAGCGGGCTTTTGCTCGTGGGAGGGTTAAGAAAAAGCTACAGTAAAAGGGAAGAAGTGAGTGCCTTTGGTAAGGTGGTGGCTCTGTGTCCATCCTGACGGGCCTGGGGTGCGACGCTGCCCCCCGCCCTGCGCCAGGGGATTTCGGTGGGAGGAAGGTACCCCGGCGTTGGGGCACTGAGGCAGCGCCTCGCTCCAGACCCACGGTGGGAGGCGAGGAGAGAAACAATGGTCGGAGGCAGAGGACCTGAGGGAAAATAAAACAAAATCCTCTCTTCACAGCAGCTGCACGGGCCACCCCACTGGGGCTGCTCCCACGCGCCCGCGGTGCCGAAAGGGGGTACGGAAGGACCACACACATCAAGGAGATGTGCTGAACCCAGCCTGCCTTCTCCGTCCCCATCTCCACCAGACGCTGTGCAAAGGGATCGAGAGTCCATTCAGGAACATGACAAGCTCTGTGCCAGAGCCACCCCCAGCACGGCCTCCCGCCACGCTTGTCCCTGGGACAGGGGGACACGCTGGGGCCGGGCAGCGGGGGGGGCAGGATGAGGCAGAAAGGAGGACAGGCAGCGGAAACACCAAACCAGACGTTCAGTTTGGGTCTGTGGGACACAGAGGCAAAAATAAACCAGGGCTAAAGGCAAGGAGTTGGGGCGCAGGAGGGCCATGCCATCGTGCCGTCCCCTCCCAAAGCGCAGCAGCTCCAGCCCTCACAGCCAGCTTGGGCAAGAGGTGGGAATCCCACGCTCTGACACGCGTGGCGTCCGTCGGATTTCAAGGACCGAGTGCAAATATCCTTCTCCTGGGCACTGATACGAAGGAGGAAGAAAACCATAGAATCACAGAATGGTTTGGGTTGGAAGGGACCTTAAAGACCATCTAGTTCCAACCCCCCTGCCACGGGCAGGGACACCTTCCATAGCCCAGGTTGCTCAGAGCCTCATCCAGCCTGGCCTTGAAAATCGGGACAGAAGGTCTCATTTTGCTTCTTCCAACTCCAAAAAGCTATTACACGTGTATTTATGGGCCAGGCTTTCCAGGCAGAGTGCTTTTTGTATTCCCCCTCCCTAAAAATATTCCCAAAATCCACACAGAGCCACAAGACCATGGTGCTTTCTGGATGTAGCCCCTGTTATTATCAGCATAGCAACACCAAAATAAAAACCGGGCAGTCAGGGAAAGTCAGAGCTAAACGCAAGTCTCTCCCCCTGGACGATGGCGGTGAGACCTCTCCAGACGAACGGGACACCACCTCTCCCACAGGCTCCTCCTCGGGCACCCACCCAAAAACCGGCTCAGGGCCGCACCCAGTCCTCCCCTTGCACCCACGCACCCCAAACCAGCCATCACACACCCTGCCCCCCCCAGCTCCTCCATCCCAAGGCAAGCCAACACACCCTCCCCAGGGACCCAGGGCTTTGCCGGGCGGGAGCTCTGGGTGCAGGCTGGGCTCTCGGCACCTTGGAGGCACTTCCCTGGGGCTCTGCAGACGGACCCAGAGCAGGGCTGGTCTGACGGTCCCAGAGAAGGATCTGGGGGGTATTTTTTTGTTTAAGGAGTCCTAGGGGCGCAAACTGACACCGCAGCTCAGACACCTAAAATGGTGCTTTTTGCAGAAGGCAGCGGGCGTGAGGAGGTTAAAAACCATCACGTTTGCAACCAACTTGCGCGGGCTCCAAATTGTATTTGGTGGGCTACGCTTCGGTTATGCCAACTGACATAGGGAAGAATTTGGACAGCCAGAATACAAGGACATAAACCTGGATTTTGAGTAAAAGGGAAAAGATAAGGTGTCAATAACACCTTTACTGAAGTACTCTGCCCCTGGTTTTGGGAAGGTGAGGGATGATTCCCGTTTTCCCCATCCGCATGCTGCAAGCCTTGGGCACAACAGGGCGGTGGTGAGGGCTGGCTGATGCTTTTTGAGATTTTAGAAGATTTGAAAGAGTAAAGCAAGCCTGAATTATCACTTCAGAAAGAGCACCAAGATTTAAGCAGCCAAGTTAAACATCAGCATCACAGCAGAATTACCGTCTCCGAAAGCTGGCACACCTGCCTGGAACCCCCCCTCGAAAATATTAGGAAAAAAGCCGTATCAGCAGCGTGGGGGGCCCCAGGACCGCTCTGTGTCTCTGCCGGGATGGGATGGGATGGGCTCACCTTGTTTGGAGCTGACGTCGGAGGGGATGTGAGACGGGTGCGACCCGGGGGAAAAGTGCTCATCGCTGTAGGTGATAAGAGGGGTGAGGGGGTGAACCGCATGAGAAGGCTGTACCACTGGCACCTTGTTTGACTGCAAGAGAAGAAAAGAAATTAAATTAAATAGTGTCAGTGAGGTAAAAAACCTCCAAAATGCAGTTTTTACATATTTGTATTACTGGAGGGGGGCGGAACGGATGGGCAGAGGTGGCATTGGAGCTGGTGGATGGCAACCAGGTGTGATGCCAGAATGGGCATCCTCGAAGCGCTGGCGCCCAAGGAGGGATACAGGGGTTGAGGTAACGCAGGGAAATGGGTGGGTGCCGAGAGCAGGAGGAAAGGCATTTGGGAGACAGGGCCAGGGAAGTGGGGGTCAGGGAGGCACAGGGCAGGAAGAGCACTACGCCGGGCAGGCGGGCAACGTGCACCGAGGGCTGTGACCAGACGGCACAGACAGCAGGAGCCCTGAAGAAACCCTGCATTTACAGTTTCACCATTAAGAAAAGAAAATAAAAAAAGGTTTAAAGTGCAGGTTTGCCGCATCTCCAGCCTGAGGAGCAACACGAGCTTCGTCGACTTCACTCCATCTTTCCACTGCTCTCCTGCACGGCCGTGGCAGGGCACAGCAGGGACAATCTTACACACTCCGCTTGAAATCATGGAATGGTTTGGGGGGGAAGGGACATTACAGCCCCCTTAGTCCCTCCCCCTGCCATGGGCAGGGCCTCCTTCCATAGCCCAGGTTGCTCCAAACCTCATCCAGCCTGGCCTTGGACACTCCCAGGGATGGGGCATCCACAGCCTCTCTGGGAACCTGTCCCAGTGCTCCCACCCTCTGCGGGAAGAATTCCTTCCTGATGTCCCATCTCCATCTCTCTCTTCCCGTTTAAGCCCGTCACCCCTTGCCACTACAGATCTCTGGTCTGGGTAGCAGGTAGCTGAAAAGCCACCCTCAGAAGCCTAATTTCATATATAAGCGGTGCGCAGTGGCCTGTCAGAGGGGTCAGCTGGGGAGGAGACGTGCCGCCTGCACGGGGACGGCTGGGAGGCCTCTCGCCACATCATGCCGAGGGGAAACCAGAGGTGCCACAAGCACCCAAGAGGGTGCCGAAATGGGTGTCCATGGAGGCCAAGATGCGCGCCTCCCATCGGCCCTTCCCGCAGAGGCGCAGGGGAGGGGGCGCTCAGCGTGACGGAGGGATGCTGCCCAAAATCACGCTCTTGGATCGAGGCTGCAAGACGACGGGACTCGTTGCTCTTCCCATGGCAGGATGGGACGTAGCGGTGACACCGGCGTGTTAGCGGCGCTCCTCGTCTGTACCCTGCTACTCTACCCTGCCCCTTAGCAAAACTAATAATGGCACAACCGGGTTTTTAATAAAACTTTTAAAAAAGGCAAAGAAGAGCTGTCCTTCAGACAGAAACGCTGACAAAACTCACAAGGACAGCCTGTCAAATATAAGGAATTAAGAAAAAAAATAAATTAAGAGCCCAATAAAATTAATTTTCTTTGAGTGCACTATTGAAATCCCGGCACAAACAGATGTTCAGACAACACTCCAAGTCCAAACCCAGTATTTCTCTGGACTTCAGGAAGCAGAAGGGTTATTAAACAGACAATTTATTAAGGCCGAGAGGAGAAGAGGAGAGGGAGCGAATGGGAGCCGGCACGGCGTTTCTGCTCGCCTTGTTTCCCGAGCACCACCTTAAGGAACTGGCATTAGCAGGCAGTATCTTCTTAATGTCTGACCTATCCCTCCAGTCATATAGCTCAGAATCTGGTGCCATGAATTTTTGCTAAATTATGCTATCCTTGCTCTCCTCTTAATTTTACGGTTTTCAACACAGATTTGCTTTCCTGTGGGAAAGAGATAAGAACCTGAGGATTTTAATTTAAGCTTCGGCCTTGTCTTATATTTTTCAAGATGGAGACAGAAAGCGGCGCTGGTAGGTGTTTTAAAGCCAACAAGCATTAGGTCCATTTTTGCGACCAAATAATAAAAGCAATATGAGTTCTCAATAATATATATGAGTTGAGCTGAAAAGGGGGTAGCTCAGAGTGCTGTTCATCTTCCCTGTCTGTATAAATCCAACCCAAAACAGATGCCAACAAATTTCAGGCGCTTTACACATCAAACCTCAGTCTTTAGCTACAAGACTTGCGGGCCAGCCCACCATTCAGCAATTACTTTATCAACAATAAACCGTATATTATGAATAAAGATCAAGCAATAGATGTATTTAGGTCACACACACACACAGCTGCTAATCAGCATTAATTTCTCAAAATTTAGTAATTAACATTTTGCATTATACCGCATGTAATTGTCATGCACGCCCCTGGTATCAGGGTTACGTGCTTTCAGAAATCACCCATTTGTACTTGGAGCAAGGCAATCCTCGTACCCCCCTCGCTCCCCAGCAGCCTGCAGATTTGATTTTATTTTCTAATTCTCGGCACCTTATCCCCTAAGCCCACGGTAGCGGCTTTCAATGGGCGAAGGAACCGGGAGAAGTCAGGAGAAAAGCAAACCGCTTGTCAGCGGGCTTTAAATTAACATATAAACGGGCTGTATCGCCACTGAGAGCATTTGGGCGTCTTGCAGAGCCAGAAACGGAACACAGTAATAATAACAATAATAAAAAGCTCTCCAGTCTGCCTGCCCCACACCATTTCGGGAGGACCTAGGGAGCTCTGGTCACCTAAATCCTGCTGGGCAGCCAGATGTGCCACCGGATGGGGGCTTGGTGGGCACAGGCTGAGCCTCCCCATGCCCCCTGGTCCCACCAAGATGGCCACAGTGATGACAGGGGCATAAAACAGAGGGCAACACGTGCAAATAAGGAAAAAATTCTTCCTGGATAGGGTGGGGAGGCACTAGCTGCCCAGAGGCACAGCTGCCCAGAGGAGCTGGGGATGCCCCATCCCTGGGAGTGTCCAAGGCCAGGCTGGATGAGGCTTGGAGCAACCTGGGCTATGGAAGGTGTCCCTGCCCATGGCAGGGG